CTGTTTTGCATGGTTCCTTTTTATATTCATTGGATAAAAATTGCACGCATTTGCGGTACCACTCATTGATATATAAGCGGCATAGTAGGTTTTTTTCCAACAAAAAATGTAGGATGTTAAGCTCATCGAAGTGTAATTTGAGGTAGGGATTGAGATTTATTTCGGTGTTTTTGCAAGCGTCTGCTTTGATTTCAACTTTCAAATGTTCTGGAAATTTTTGAAAGATTTTTGAAAAATGTAAACTATGGATGTTTGTTTGACGCTGCAGGCCAGCCGATGAAAGGGACACAGTCGAATATTGTCAATTGTAGGAAAGCAGTGAGTGCTAGTTTAGATACCCAGATAAGCGAGCCTCTTACTTTTTACTGTATATGTGATTGTAAAACAAACTTTACCCTGTAATTTTCAAACTGTTTCAGATTCGTATTAAACCCGGTACATCGCCGGAACGTATAGAAAGCATCAAACGTGATCTGAGCCGCATTTATTTGAAAGAACTGATCAAAAAATTCACAGTTGATGAGCGCCTTAATCTTACCGAATCGTAAGACAGCTTGGACCACTTATGATTTTATGTTAAGAATTTTTCAAAAAAAAAAATTGTTTTTATCATTTTCATATTCAATTGAGCGTCAAAATCCACATGTTTAGCTATAGGGTGAGAGAGGAGCTCAGGGATGACTTGTTCGTGGTATCCTACTAGCCTCAACATCAGCGCAGCGACGGTTTTTTTCCCCCGGAATTTGCTCAAGAAGCAAAGGGAACATGCTTTTTGTTCGGTAGTATGGGTATTTTTAAGATTTTTAAAAGAATGTTCCGCCAGTCCTCTCCCAAGAACTCATAAATTAGGCGAGATATTGACTGCTGTTGCTAAAAAATGGCCATTCTAATGAGGGGGAGAACAACAAAAACTTTTAATCTGTACGGACTTTGAGGATTAAAAAAAAAGTTGCCATGCTATTTTAGCGAATAATGCAGGACTAGAAAGCCTGAAATAACTTAGAATGAAAACCAAATGGCCTTGAAACCAGAAAATTTAGTGGTTAGGGGTTGAATTAAACTAGGATTCTTATTGTATCTAAATACAGGTGCGGTAGGTTTGAGCCTACAGGAATCACCCGTAATGGTTCTAATTTTTCAGCAGTTCCTGCTTCACCGTTTACAATGATATTTGCAGGGACAGCTGGAGATGTTATGATCTTACGATTGAGCTTCTACGAGCCAAGGAAAGGATCGAAAGTGCGCGCCACATTTCACGCCGCCTTATTTTGAATCGAGTGGAACAGCGTTTCGTGAAAGCAATTAGCAAGCGGATTTCCGATCGTTGCAAGGAAATGGTTGATTATCA